GCAGCCAAGCAAGAGGAGGGTAGAGGAGGCTGTCAGGTGAGCACCAGGAGGAGGAGCCAAATGTGGAGGCTGTTCTAAGTTGTCCATGCCCAGAAACTCAGATGACTAATCCGTTAAAAGCAAATGGAAGAGCAATGGGGCCTCTGAGGCACTCAGGATCAAACTTGACCTGACATCCACCTGCCCTATCCACTCAGTTAACAGATAGTCGCTGCCACCTGGCCCTCAGGACACAGCTGGTGCTGTGGGTCATTTTACACCTGTTAGGGCCATCAGGGCTTTCTGCAGAAGTGCACTGAAATGGTGGAGAAACAGACTCAGAGGTGGACTGCCTGGCTCTGGATTGCCTCTGCTCCTCACAAGCTGTGTGACCCTCTGTGCCTGAGTTTCTTCCTCTATAAAACAGAGATGATAATAATACCCAGAAGGGTTGGTGGGCAGTTAAATGGGAAAATCCACTTGACGTTTAAAAAATGACACATAGTAAGTCCTCAATAAACGTGAGCCCAAGCCCTCAGAGCCCAAGTCCCCCTCCCTCCCCTGGCCTGCTCAACAGAGGAAAGATGAGGTTTACAACCGCCAAGGTCCCTGTGTGTTTTAACACGCGCTTCGGGGGAGCAGTGTGGAAAATGGATTTAGGGAGGAGGAGGCTAAAGCTTAGGAATCCACAGAGAAGTCTGCAGGCGTCCAGGTGGGAGGTAGAGGGGCAAGAACTAAGCCCTGGGATTCAGGAAACATTTTGCAGACGTTCTCCCTAAGACTTGATAACAGGTTGGGAATGGGCACTTGTGGAGGAAGTTGGAAGGTAGGGAAGGCAGCTTCAGGGAACATTTTAGGGGGTGTGGGCGGGAGACGTGAGGCTGGGGACTTGAAGCAGAAGCAGCAGACTCAGAGGCGGCGGTGAGTGCAGGGCTGGGGTTCAAGCTAGAGGTGGAGTATTTCATGCCCGTGGGGGGCCAGCTTCCCGGCGCAGCTGGCCTCTGTCTAGAAGCTGTGTGACAAGGCGCTAAACCCGATCTCCAACTTGGACGGGGAACTTCGCGGTTGTCGGGTGTGCCCAGGGCCACTGGCTGACTCCGCACTTGGGACGGGCCAGGAGGTCCATCTCGCTGAGCTTCTTTCCTTCCTTCCTCTGGTACCGTCCTCAGTCAGACCTCCCATTCTGCTCATCTCCCCGCGCCTCCGCCTTACAGCTTCCCATGACCTCAGACGCGCTCGGGATCAAGTTGAGGCTGGTTTCTCAGCGGGCCGCGGGCCAGACCGCAGGAACCGCCGCTGTTCGCACCCAGCGGCCGCGCGCCATCCGCGGCCGTGAAGGGACCGGCGCGCACGGCGAGGTTGGAGGACCCTCTTGGCTCGATCACCGCATCACTGGCTGCGGTCGGCGGAGGGGCTCGCCTTTCACAACGAGAATTGTGACCCCCACGGTGCCCGAGCGGTGTCTGCGCGCGGGACCGATCGCCCGCTGGGCGCTGCTCACTGGGCTATGTTTGCGCGGGAGGAATTCGCGCGCACCGCGAGGCTGGGATTCCCGCGCCCCGCCCACCCACGCCTACCCGCAAGCCGGGATCCCTTACCCGTCCCCGCCTACCCCCTGCAAACTCCGGCCTCGTTTCCCAGACCGCGGGGTTTGAAGATTATCTGATGCTCCAAGCGCCCGAAGCTCGAGGGGAGGCAGACCTCACAAAGGGCTGCCCCTCCGCCTTCACTGCCTCCCTTTCCGCGGTAGACAAGCCCCGGGGGCTGCTGGAGAGCAGCGCCCGACCACCTATCGCTTTCTGCGCACGAAGGGGGTTGGGAACTTTCCCGAAGTTTGAGGCTAATGTGGCAGATAATGTTCTCTCTCGAGGAGCAAGCCACTGGAGTTTACTTTCAGGTTTTCCAACAAATACAGCCGGACGTGCGGGTGGGGGGAGGTATGGGGGATGGGGAATGCCATTAGTTTGCTCTTTTACCCAAAGAAAAAGACCCTGAATAGAAGAGCAGATAGTCCTTCTTGCTGGAAGTGGAGGTGAACTGCTGCTTGGGTTTGGTGGCACCACAGCGGGGGTTTCCAGTCAGGACCCTCAGCGGTGGCAGGTGGCCTTCTGGAAACTCGAAGAGGAAAGTTCAAACGAGCTTTTCTTTATTGGAAGCAATTTCTACCTACACATGCTCTCTAATATCTGCGGGCCCTGCGGGAGGGTTGGGCGGAAAGCGGATGGAGGCGAAATCACTCTTCATTGCTATTCTGGGGATAGGCGTGCAGGGCCCAGCAGCAGCCCGGCTACCGGGGGCCGACACCGTTCCATAGAGTAACAGGCCAGGGAGGAAAGGCCAAACAGAGCCTCGCCTCACAACCACCACCTTGCCCAGACTCAGGCTGTGTCCCGGGCCAGAATCAGGAGGAAAATTTCTGCGTGGCGCTGGCGGTTCCTAGACACTCAGGACTCTTGGTCTGGTTCTCTCCTGCCCTTTTATGCTTCCACCCCAACCTGCGCCGGTACCTTAGAGGTTAATTGTCAGAAGCTCTTATATTCGGCTAATCTACAACACGGACTTCTCCACTAGGCCCACATTACTGCTCATCTGGGGTTTTAAAGGCCAAGGGAGACTGGAGGATGTGATGTTCTGGCCTTCTCATTCTTTCACAGCTGGCCACCAACCCAGCTCCAGAATTTGGGGGTGGACTTTTCTGGTCAAAGCATGTTTCTTTTCCCAATTTCGGTCTTCGGAAGCCTACCTTCTTTCCAGCACCTATTTGGGCCTGGATTCCTGGTGAGTTGTCTTGTACCCTTACATGCCCTCCTGGGAGACACTCAGCTTCCTGAGAACCGCTTGTTCACCCCAACATTCCACAGCATACTTCTGTTCCCTAAGGACTGCAGGAGCTCTGGGCTGGTTCAGGAGGCAAATTGCACCTCTGCAAGGGCTCCATGGACTGTTTGTTTTTGCTTTTTCCTGGCAGGTCAGTAAATTGTTGCTCCTGGGGGTGACTTGCCAGGTGATGTGGCTTCTGGAATGTCCCAGGTATGACATTCAGAACTTCCTCCCACCCTGCTTAGCCTG